AGCCTCCAAAATTCTCTCGTAACAACCTCTTCGATCAGATACAACACGAGTGCGAGAAAACATCCGTTTTGCATCGAAAAAACCGGGAAGTGAGCGGTCGCTCATTTTATGAGCGACCAGCTCTTCAAAAAAAAAAAAAAAAAAAAAAACAGGGGGAAATAATGGGGGCAGTGCTAAGAGTGGAAGACAGAAGCGATTGGAATGACGTCTGCGTAAATTGGGCCAACGCTATTTTACGGCGCGTGAAACACACCGCCTTCCACCCTCACCAACTAACTCAAAACTGTAGTGCGACCCATTAGATGAGGTTACTGGCATGGTAAATTCTGGTTTTACCGTGCACGACGAGGGCTACTCGCAAATTTTACATATGGGATATGATGATGAGACCATGGATGCTAATCAATTTTTAATTGAATGTTTTGATTCCAACATTTTGTTCTAAATTGGTCCAAACCGAATCAAATAATATTTTGTTTTAATTTGGTCATTTTTAGCAAAACTGAACCAATCGTTTCCGAACTGCACTAAGCAAATACCGAATCAAATCCATATTGATTCTGTTCTAATTCGGTATAATTTTTATAAATTTGAACACACCTTTTCCGACAGTAAAAAGATTTAGTGGGGGGTTGGCGCGTGATGAGAATTCGAAGATATTAAATGAGATAGGAATAAAAAAAACTGGAATATTTGGCAATAATGGACCCCCTTTGTTTAACCGTAGCAATTCACGTGCTCTCTCTCTCTCTCTCTCTCTTTTTGGACGATATTCCATTCAAATTGAATTATTCCAATAACCAAATTAAATTATTTGAAAATTTAATATGCAGCACACACTGACGGACTTTGGGCTCCGTCTCCGTTAGAGCTGACGACGGTAAATGGGCCACTATTCATTCATAATCTATGGGCCCAATTTGAACTAAATTATGGACAAAAATTGGGAAATAGAATGGGCCTATGGCCCAAGTTGTCGAATGACCTTGTCACGAACTCACGTGTGAAGGATACGACGAACTCGAGAAAAACCAGACAACCTTGAAATCAAACCAGCCACTGATTCTCCATCGCAATCCCTAGATCCGCCCGAGGTTCAGATGCATCCACGCTTCGCCGCTTTCTCACGATTCGCCCGTCCGACCGCCGCCGGATCGACGAAGAAGCAATTCTCTTCATCGACAGAAACCCCGGCGACGCACTTCCCGAAGAGCCTCGAGGCTCTGCGGGCGCGGCTGGCGGCGGAGTCTCCGTCCCTGACCGATTTCATCCGCGGCGGAGAGACCTACTCCGTGGAGGTTGGATCGAAGAAGAAGCCCCTCCCCAAGCCTAAATGGATGAAGGAGTCTATTCCTGGAGGCGAGAGGTATGTTCAGATCAAGAAGAAGCTTAGGGAGCTTAAGCTTCACACCGTCTGCGAGGAGGCTCGCTGTCCTAACCTCGGAGAGTGCTGGTCCGGCGGTGAAACTGGCACCGCCACTGCTACCATCATGATCCTTGGCGATACCTGTACCCGCGGTTGCAGGTTTTCCCTCTCTTTTATGTGCCTTACATTTCGTATTTCTTCTGCATTTCTTTTGATATACGTATGCAATTCATTCATTGTCTCTCCCGGAAGGCGGAAAACCGAATTGTGTTTGTTGTTCCCACGCTGCGGCCGCGAACAGACATGTTTATTAAGGATTTGATTCTAAGATCATGTGTCCGGCCTTAGGACAGCGAAGCAACTCTCTGTTTCATTTTTGTCTCGCTCTGGCTATTTGCCATATCCTCTGTTTCTTCTTTCTGAAAGGGGGGCTTCTCTTATGTAGGTTTTGTAATGTGAAGACATCTCGTACACCTCCGCCACCTGACCCCAACGAGCCTAACAATGTGGCTGAAGCTATTGCATCCTGGGGTTTAGATTATGTGGTCATCACTAGCGTCGATCGGGACGACTTGCCTGATCAGGGAAGCGGGCATTTTGCTGAGACTGTGCAGAGGTTGAAAACTCTTAAGCCCAAGATGTTGATAGAAGCGTTAGGTAATGGACTATATGGTTTGGCAACTTATTTACCCTAGACAGACAGGATCTAGATTTTTTCAGTTGGCTGGCTTTCCAAGTGAACATTAAATCCGTAGATTAGATAATACTGCTGTTTTTTATCATATAGTTCCTGATTTCCGTGGAGATACTGGATGTGTCGAGAAGGTTTCGAGATCAGGGCTTGATGTCTTTGCCCACAACATCGAGACAGTTGAGGAGCTTCAAAGCTTTGTGAGGGACCATCGAGCTAATTTTAAGCAGTCACTAGATGTTCTCACTAGGGCCAAGGAGTATGCACCTGCCGGAACCCTGACTAAGACCTCGATAATGCTAGGCTGTGGAGAAACACCCGATCAGGTTGTGAAGACAATGGAGAAAGTTAGAGCAGCTGGAGTAGATGTGATGACTTTCGGGCAATATATGAGACCATCTAAGCGGCACATGCCTGTAGCTGAGTATGTGACACCGGAGGCTTTTGACAAGTATCGGGTTCTTGGCATGGAAATGGTATGTTCCATCCTTTTAGCGTATAGTTGTTATATTGGGAAAATGGTCTGAAAATTGCTATATAAATACACGGACTTTGAAACTTTTACTAAAATACGTAATTTTTTTCCAAATATTGCCATAAACCCACATAAAATTTGCAAATATCTCAAAGGGGACGTGGGTTTATAACAATATTTGTAAAGTTTATATTTTTTGGTAGAAATTTCAATGTAGGGCAAGTTCTTGTTTTTCCGAGCGATTATCCCTACTGTATTTGACCATTTTGGGTAAAATCTTTGGGTGGTAACAGGGATTCAGGTATGTGGCATCAGGACCAATGGTGAGGTCGTCCTACAAAGCGGGGGAGTTCTACATTAAGTCGATGATAGAGTCTGATAGGGCTGTGTCTTCAACGCCATAGAGTTCATGTTTTGTTTTTATAACCCACAATCTACAACGCATCATCTATGGCAGATGTTTTCACTTACTGCACATTGTTGTGGTCACACTTGATTTATTTGTAAATCGGCTTACAGCTACAGCTGCCTGGAAGTACTTATCTCTTTCCTTTCTATCCTCCCTTTGTAAATTGTAAACCCATGGCTGAGAAATTGAAACAATCGAATAAATACGGAATCAAACTATGTTTGATTGTCGGACCTCTGTCATGCAACTTCTGTTACTCGACCAACATTGTGGCGGCCTTCTTCGTCTCGCAATGGTCCCAAACAGGGGGTTGTTTATCTGAGTTTCGGTTTTGGATTCGGTTATTTCGTTTATGGAAAATGTTTATTTGAGTTTCGGTTTTGGATTCGGTTATTTCGTTTATGGAAAAATTGTAACCGTTGCATTTATTCGATTCGGTTTCAATTTTGTTGAAAAAATATTTATTTTTTAATAAAATTTAATTTTTCGATATTTAAAAAATCATAACTGTATAATTAAATTGGATTCGAGTTCGTTTTATTCAGATAAATCAAGCTAGTTTCAAATGATCATAGGTGGTTTTGGGGCCGTCATCATCAATAGAATTATTGTCCCTAAAAACTATTTATTGAATCACCGTTTAAAAATAAGATTTTAAATGATTAATTCTTTTTTTAAAAATATCCTCAATAGAAAAATCTTATTCCCCCTGGAGAAACCCATTGAGAGGTACTAGGAGTGGCCCAAGTGATTATGGGCCGAATACAAGCCCATTAATGGCAGCGAATGTTATATACCCAAAATCTTACAGACAGAGAAGGATGTGAGAAAGGGAGATGGGGTGCTGCGTGAGCGCCGGAAGAGGGGAGGAGGAGACCCCAGCCGCCATGGAAGAAGAGAAGGTGAAAGAGGTTGTCATTCACTCCATCTCCGAGACTCCCATCTCTGTCCCCTTACCCGAAACCACAAATTCACAAGCCCAACAGCACTCGATCCTTCTTCCATCCACTCCCACTCCCACTCCCACTCCCAAACAGGATCTTCTCACCCCGGAGATCTCTGAAATAACCGAGACTCGAACCGTCTCCACCGCCACAACCACAACCACCGTCTTCGAGGACGATGCTCAAAGCAAACCCAACCCACCTCCTCCCCGACGGGGAGAGAAGCTCTCCAGATCTCCAGCCGCCGGCCATTCCCGCACCCAGCTTCGCCCTCGGCCTGTCCGCGAGAGGCCTTCCGACCGACAACAGAACGTGAATGCGGGTGTCCTCCGACGCGGGGGTTTACGTGACGGGCCGACCCGTCGTTCCCCCGGCAGGGCGACGGGAGGGAGGAGAAGCCCCATCAAGAAGCGAAACGACGGCGTCCGTGTCGAGAAGGAAGAAGCGAGCGGCGGCGGCACGGCCAAGAAGGAGGAGGGCGGCGGCTGGTCTCCCCCCGAGACGATCGGTAAACCC